GAGTTTTACTTTTAAACTGTAAGTGTATTTTATTTAGTTATTATGCAAATACAATACAAATTAAACCAGAATAATTATAATTTTAAACCAAGATTTAGAATAATTATCGTTTTGATCCATATGGTAATGTGTGACTGGTCCTCGTGTCACTTTATGTTGAACAAATTGGGCCCTGAGGTGATTTATGAGAAACTTTGGATAACAGTCAGTGCCAACATTTACAATCCGTTTCACTTAATGTGTTTGAGATGATGCTCATCTGCTACCAAACCAGATTTTAGATCGATGTCTGTAGAATTGTTTGAGTTGTTGTCATTTTTGTGTTTCTTAAGGTCAGCTGCCTCTGGTGGCCATCATGAATCGGGGTGACTCCAACCATTTTGTAGTTTATTCTTTATTTATTAATTGTAGATGTGTACACCTCCACTAAGACCTACCGTTATTCGAGGGGAGCGCACTGCTGTGTCTAGAGAACCAAGCGCTCTGCCTACAACAAATGACATCGCCATCTCCTTCATTGTCAAGAGTTCCGCTAACTCTGGAAGGGGAGTGGAGATTGTGACCACAGGATAGGTGACATAGCCTTAGTGACATAGCCCTCTCCACCCACCAACCACCAGCATTGGTAACATAGMAAATAATTTTCTCTGACAAACCCCTGCCAAGGTCAGTACTGTAAGGGGAAACAACAGTGCAGCTGCTGAGCTGTGATTGGTCAAAAAGTTGACTCCCGTAGGTATTGGCTAAGTGTAAACAAAACTGCTGAACATTATTGTCCAATGCACACCATCAAACTACAAAAATGGTTGGTTCTTGTCATTGTAAAATAAACTTCTGACTTTATGATTTGCATAAAAATTGAACATGTTTAGAGGAAGAAGATATTGACATTATGCTTTTCAAACAGCAACTAGGGCTCAGTTTTCCTCTCTTTTTTTCAGCTGCTTCTTTTAGGATCTGGGGAACGGATAAAATATTTCCAAGCATCTTAACATTTGAAAAGCTGCTGAACTGATAGGTTTCATCATTTACTGTCCGGAGACGGAGAACGGTTGGAAAGTCATGTGTCCCAAAAGTATGAGACATGTTGACTCCCATTTAAGTGATTCAGGTTTCCATTTAGAAACGTTCTGACACGTGTGAAATGTTCAAAGCTCTATTTATCTGTCTCACAGTCATGCATGTGAAAGATTAAATCTAAATGTCTGTGCGGGTGTTATGGTGATAACAGCTATGACAATGCATTTTTGCTGCTGCTGACATTTGTCATTTCGACGACAGGTTCAGTCTTGAGATTTAAAGAGATAAACAGCCCCAGGAAAAGATTCACAATCCTTTTTTTTCTCCTTTTCCCTCTGTCTCAGGGGATGATGTACCTGGAGGAAAGGAGGTTGGTCCACAGAGACCTGGCTGCTCGAAACGTGCTGGTGAAGTCTCCCAATCACATCAAGATCACCGACTTTGGCTTGGCCCGATTGCTGGACGCTGACGAGAAGGAGTACAATGCGGATGGCGGCAAGGTTGGTGTAAGTTGAGGCCCTTTTGAATATATGATGAACTTACCTTGCATGCAGGGAGTGAAATATATATTTTTTTCCAAAATGGCTGACATGACTGAGCACTAAATGCTGAGACCACAAGTTGGATTAAAGGGCTAACAATAATCGAAGGAAAGTTTTTACAAAGCAGAATTATTGCACAATGTGTAGCTTTCTAAATATGTGTTGKGGATGGTGCTCAATATTTGTAAGAGTCGTATGTATTTTCATGATTTCTAAGTTCACTTAGCTGTTGCAGCCATCTTGAATTGAACTCTCGTAAATAAGTACCGTATTTTTCGGACTATAAGCCGCGACATTTTTCCTGAACTTTGAACCATGCGGCTTATAGTCCGGTGCGGCTTATACGTGGATTTTTTTCTTCAGCCACCGGGGGGGCTCTTATGCTGCATTTGCTTCAACGACTCGCTTCAAAAAAAGAAGAAAAAAAAGAAAAAAGCGATCCTTCCACTGTTGACCAGGAAGCAGCGATTTAAAGATAGTCAATGGCCAAAAACTCATAAAAGGGGATAAAACAGATATTTTTCACGGTGGAATCTGACTGATAAAAACTTTGGAGCTTAATCCAGGACCAGTTTGTGGATAAACGTCGAGTGAAGAGCCGCAGACTTTTTTTTTCGGCATTGCACTCCCCGGGGAAGGAATCCCATGCAGTGACATTTGCTGGAGTGGGAGGGCTTTCCCAGCAGCAGCTAGACTCAGGGTTTCTCGGGGGAACTATGAAAGGTCAGTGCGAAAACGAACGCTGAACAATCACATGACGGTGCGTCGACCGGTCGAC